AGTGATTGCCCAAGGGAAGGAGGCATGGGGGGAGGTAGAAGAAGATAAAAGGGTATAAAATGGTGATGGAAGAAGACGACTTGACTTGGGGTGGTAAACACAATACAATATTCAGATGATGTATTGTAGAATTGTGTACCTGGAACTTGTATAATTTTATTAACCAATGTCACCCCAATAAATTCAGTTAAAACAACAAAAACAATGAGATACCATTTCACTTATTAGAATGACCAAAATCCAGAACACTGACAACACCAAATGTTGTGGAGGATCTGAGTAAGAGGGACTCATTTATTGCTGCTGGTAAATGTAAAATGGTATAGCCACTTTGAAAGACAGAAGTTATTGTGTGGGTTTTTTTTTTTTTCAGTATTAGTCACTTTGTTTTCTCTTTTCTGTGGTTGTAAGAAATATGTTGCCATTCTAAAACAATAGATTTTAGTAATAACATTTTTATATTTTTAGCTATCAAATTTCTCAAAGACATCCAGTATATACTCTTTCATATTTTAAAAAAATCATTATTGATTTTAGAGGGAGGAAGGGAGAAGGAGAGATAGAAATGTCAATAAGAGAGAAACATCTATTGGCTGTCTCTTGTACATTCCCCACTGGGGATTGAGCCTACAACCTGGGCATATTCCCTGACTATGAATCAAACCGCAACCTGGGCATATGCCCTGACTAAAAGTCTATCCAGTGACCCCCTAGTACATGGGATGATGTACTAATTAAGCCACACTGGTCACACCACTCTATCACATTTTAAACATTATTTTCCCAACGTTCTTCATAGAAGCTAAAAAATGGATTTCATTAACCCCATTTTACAAATAATGAAATCTCATAATGTATAACATACTGCATGCTAAAGAGAGCATGTTTTCATGAAGAGAAAAGTCTTGAAACTTCCTTCAACATTTCTCAAAATTACTATCTTTTGTCTTCTAGAAGTTTTTTTTTAAAAAAACTGAACATCTTACCATATCATCTATCAATTATGTTTCTTGCTATTTACCCACATGAGTTGAAAAAATGTCCACACAAAAACCTGCACATGAATGTTTTTATAGCAGCTCTATTCATAATTGTCAAAACTTGAATGCAACCAAAATGAATGAATAAAAGAACTGTGATACCTCCATGCCAATGTTATTCAGTGCCATTAAGAAATGAATAATCAAGCTTTGAAAAAACATGGAGAAATCTTAAGACATATTATTAAGTGAAAGAAGACTATCTGAAAAGGCTATATACTGTGTGATAACGAATGAGTTTCTAGAGAGGCAAAACTGTGGGGACAGTAAAAGAATTGGTGGCAGAGATTTGGGGGAAGGGAGGGAATTTTAGGACAATGACATTGTCCTATATCTGTGTCATAGGCGAACTTATGACACGCGAACTCATTTTTTTGGTTGATTTTTCTTTGTTAAATGGCATTTAAATATCTACACTAATAAAAGAGAAACATGGTAATTAGTGTCACTCCACTACCCTTCCCATTGGCTAATCCCCCTGTCACTCACAGAGTAGGGCCGAGATATGCAAATTAACTGGCAGCCAAGATGGCGGCCGGCAGCCAGGCAGCTGATGCGAACAGGGAGGCTTGCTTGCTTCAATGACGGAGAACTCCAACGTTCCCCGCCTGACATGCCGGCCTCCGAGCTGCAACTCTCAGCAACTATGTTGCAAATAAAGAAGCTAAAAAAACCCCAGAAACCTGCTTTACTCAGTGGTGCTTCGGCCAGCCGGACCACAACATTGTATCAAATACAGACGGTAAACAAAGGCA